ACCTTCAAACGTTTGTATTGTTCCGATCGATAAACCAATAAATACGTCAATCCTTCTCCTGCTAGAGCCGTACATAATGCGATTGCTATGATGAGCAAACAGTCGGATAACATCGGAAATTGAACATTGAGGTAATTGGTGTGATATAACAAGATATGTCGTAAATATGCATAGATATGATAGGAGATGACCGCGAAGAGAGTACCAAAAGTATATTATATATTTATCAAAAGACTACGGCAAACAAAAACAAGTAAAAAACAAGCTTCCGATGGATAGAAAATAACCAATAACAACAAGACAGAGATAACAAGACGGAATGACTGATTTGCAAATCAAAGGAAGTACTCTATATTCATTTCGATTGCACAGCATGGCAAAGTCAAACCAAATGCCGTTATCACTTCTGGATGTAAGACACCTAGAGAAGTACAAAAATGAAAACTGTCTTGAAAAGACTTGCGAAAATCACACAAAAGATCCGGTAAAGAAAAGTAAATTAAAAACAACCTACCAAGAACACCTAATGTCATATTACCGGGGCCAATTATAGAAGCGCATCGTCCAGGGAAAAATGTAGGGTCTGGAAAAAATGAGAGGTAATGATGTAAAATGAAGGAAAACTGTTTTCAAAAGCTTACTATCACATGCACGAATGAAGTAACCAGATCCATCCTTAGCTGGATCAACATCAAGCAACCGCATCACTCTATCGAGGAAGCCATGGACAATTTCAAAGCCGGCAGTTTTGTTATAGTAAACAGCCGCAAGGCGTCGCTCATTGCGTGCTCCAACATCTGAACAACTAATGAGATATTGCCATATCTTCTGCCTTGCAATCTTTTTCTCACTTTAAACTCTATTAAGAAGTGTGATGATTCAAGAAAAATATTAATCCACGCGCCTGACCCAAGATAGGTGGGTACTTACATTGGCAAATTCAAATAGTATCTTTACAGTGGGAGGCCCAACCTTTGCCAACACCCTCATCATAAAAAAACTTCCGTTTATTCCAGTGGTGTTCGTGCAAGTCTTGTAGAAAGTATACTCAAAGGCTAGACCAAAAAAGACAGTGTGTAGTAAGATGTAACGGACTGGTATAAAACATTTTTCTCATGCCAGGCGTGCTCACTGAATATGACAAACCAATGCATATTTGAATTCCCTGCAAAAAGCGCCTATTCTATAGCGGGAACCAAATTGCTTAGCGTTTCCGCCATGAAGCAAATGTGCAAAGAAGGAGCTCAGTCAAAGTAACACCGGCTCCTGCATTGAAAAACTTCTGTCAAGTATGCACTAGCAATTGGTAGCGACTTTCACCGCAGAAATCAACATCACGGATGAACTGCTACCTACCAGATGCAGGATCCTTCAGTATGACATCTTGTAACTCAAAAAGCTTCAATGGCAATGGCATATCGCGATTTGAAGAGATTGTCTTCATCAAGCCCGGCAGTAGTGATAAACGTGCTACCTACAAGAAACAAGTTGTTTAAATAC